GGGGGCTTCCCTGCCTTTTTTCTTCAGTGCCTCCTCTTTTACCCTGAAATGTTCGGGCAAGACATCCCTGGGCTGGCAGGGTCAGCCTGTGATGTGGGCTCTGTAGGCACCTGTGGCTCTCTTGTCACCCCTTCCTTCCTTGACCCTCACCTCCTGTAGCCCTAATAGAATCTACAGTGACCAGGACAACTCGCACCCTCCTTTTTGCTTTTGTTTGCAAATTATTTGTTTCTGTGTCCAGGAACTGGCCCATGTTTTTTTTAAACTCTTTTATTTATTTTTTAGGTGTAGATGGACACCACACAATGCCTTTATTTTTATGTGGTGCTGAGGATCAAACCTGGGTTCTAGCCTTGCTAGGCGAGAGCCCTCTACCGCTGAGCCACAATCCCAGCCCCATGGCCCATGTTTTTAAGAATGTTTTTCATTTGTCTCGTTTTCCCCTCACCATTAGGTCAAGGCCCGTGCCTCCCACAGGAGGTATCTGATGTGATTGTCTCTTGCTATCGGGGACGTTAACTTTGGCCACTTGGTTACAGCAATGTCACCGTGTTTTTCCACTGGGAAGTTACCACGTTTCCCTTTGGAATTAACAATTCTTTTGTGGGGCAATATTCTGAGGCTCTGAAAGTGGCCTGTTTCCCTCACACCTTTGCCTACACATCTTAACTACCGTTGACGATTCCTCTTAATCACGCAGTGTTGTTTGGAAAATGATGATTTTTCTATTTCCCTCATTCCATCTGTATTTTTTAGCTGGGATTCTGCTCCTCCCTCACAGACCTGTTTTATCAATATGGACTCAGGGATATATCTTTTTAAAGTCTATGTAGTAAAAATCCATAATTATCATTATTTATTTTGTTGCTCCACATTTCCTAGCTTTGACCTTGGGAGCCACTCTGAGTTGACTCTTGTTTCCTTTGGACATGTCTGGGTCATTTCCTTACTTTCTGGACCCCCAAGATGTCCCATGCTCAGCTAGTGTCCACCCAGCTTTGTGGTCAGCCACTTCTGAGTCCTGTTTCCATTAACTGAAGAATGGATCTGAGTGCAAAGTTTTTGGAAGCATTGCAAAGAAAAGAGTCTCTGGCGAGGGTCCAGGGAACACAGGGTGTCAGGGTGAAAGTTGGTGGGTGAGTCTGTTAGGGGTCCGTGTTCCTTGATCTAATCCCATGTCAGCCGTAGAGTGTTAATACAGATATTTAATAAACTTCCTAGAGGTATCAGGATACAACTTTGTATTTGTTTAAAACCCAGATAACTATGCACTCTGTGCTCCTTCTCCTTAGTTCACCCCATTAGACGACTTGGTCTGAAGTATATATTTGGAAGGCTTTTTTAGTCTTGTGTTTGGACATTTCTAAATTCTCTCCCTGGGGTGGCGTTAGGGAGCTGTGTCCTACCATTTAAAGACAACAGACAGAGGGACGTGTGGACGGGTCTCCCTAGGGAGAGTGCCTTGGAGCATCTCCTTGTTGGACTCAGGTGAAGATGAGGAACGAAGGAACAGAGTCCCTCCCCACTGACCTGACAGAGTCGCCTGCTGGGAACTCCCGTGTGGATTGCATGTGGATTGCAAAGGATTGCAAGAAACAAGGGAGACACGAGGCCACGTGACCTGGTGTGGTCTTTGTGGTGGGTGGTGACTGCAAGACTGGCCTTGGGGTACTTGCTGAGGAAGGGCTGTCAGGTGTGTGACCCTGACCCTGAGACAGGGGCAGTGGGGACCTTTGTCCTCTTCCCACAGACAGGAACCTGGTGCTTGCTTAGTGCATGCCTTACCCGAGGTCATGGGACATGACAAAGCCAAGGGACTCCAGATGGCCAGATACAGACCGCCAGGCCTAGTTTGTGCCGTTCCTGGTGTGTGGGCTGGTGGCTAGACTTGGTGGACTTGGTGGACTTTACCAAGACCTGATGTCTCCCTGTGCAGACTGGTCACCTCGGCATAGAGCATGCACGCTCCTCCCTCCCTAGGGCTGGCTGGGAGAGGCAGGCTTGAGACAGGAACGATTTTCTCAGAGGGTCCCTGTAGATCCTTCTGTGGGGGATGTCCCACCCTCTGTCCCGCCCTTGGCCTGGCTCTTCTGCTCGTCCTCGTCCCTGGAGCCCTGCAGGACCTCAGGATGTACAGACATGTTATTGCTTTGGCTTAGACTCTCCTTGTTCCAAGTAATTACCAGGCTCATTCCTATTCATCTTTTTAAATCCAGCTCAGGTGGCCCCTTTGGGGAGGTGAAAAATTCCTGTTTCTGCTAAGTCAATTGTTGGCTAATCTCTCATCCCTGCCTTTCCCAGCAGCAATGTAGACCACCTGAGTGCCACCGTTGAGGTGGTCTAGTCTTACCACTAGGCCATCAGCTCTGCAAGGGCAGGGAAGAGGTCTTTGTGACCTTGTATCTCTAGCACCAATACCTCAGGCAAGGAGGGGTGGAGGTGGGAGTGTAGCCTACTGGTATCTGTAAGTTAAAATAGTCTCCCTTCCCTTGATGTGGAGGCATTAGAGCTATTTGACTCCACTATGCCTTAGTAGAAACCAATGTCATCCCCCCCCCAAAAAAAATGCAATTAGAATTTTCTAGTGACCAAATTTAAAAAACAACAACAAAGAAAACAATTGAATTTAATAATCCATGTAGCCCTGGGAGGGAGGCAGGGGAGTGGCATGAGGATAGGAAAGATGGTGGAATGATATGGACATCATTTTCCTAGGTATATGGATGATTGCACCATGGTGTGACTCTACATCATGTACAACCAGAGAAATGAAAAGTTGTGCTCCATTTGTGTATAAGGAATCAAAATGCATTCTGCTGTCATGTATAACTAATTAGAACAAACAAACAAAAATTCAGTATCTCCAAACTAATGTTACCATTCTATCATAATTATAATTATAATTTTGATATTATATTATCATAATTATGATAATATAATATCAAAATTATAATGTGAAGTTAAGAACAATATAGTTCACATTCTTCTTTAAAAACTTAGTTTTTGTCATCTAGTGTACATTTTATACTTATAACATATCTTAATTTGGCCAACTACCTTTCAAGATGGATTTGTTAGACCTGGCTAAAAGTGATTAATGGATCGTACAGTGAAAATATAGAAGAGGAAAAAATATTATTCCATGAATTAGGTGGGAGATTGAAATTGTTTTCCTTCTGAAGGTCTGCTTTCCAGACAATTAAATTTTTACAAATTGCTTTTTCCCCTATTGTCCCCACCGCCCCCGCAGCTAATGTTCTATGTGAAGACAGTTCAGTTTACAACCCATGATGGAAAGACAATACAGATTGATAAGAATGGGGACGTGATGGGACACTATGACATTCTAAATTGGCAATTAGATGATAATGGAGAAATTGCCTTCATGAAGGTTGGAGAATATATATTTACAGAAAATAAGTTTGAACTTGTTTTCACAAAGAATTCGACAATATTTTGGAACACTGAGTCATCACAGGTTAGTTGCTCTGACTTTCTATTTTGTTTGCACAGAAAATTGTATTTTTATATTAGTTTATATTAGTTTATATTACTGCATTATATTAATGCAGTAAAAAGAAGTCATTTTCTTCAAATTTAAATTTAATTTTACCAAGTACAGTATACCTTGACCCTATGTAGATTCAGATGTTTCATTTTTTGTGTATTTTCTTGGAGTGCAGTTTTTTAAAAATATTTTATTAGTTGTCAGTGGATCTTTGTTTACATTCGGTGCTGAGAATCAAACCCAGGGCCTCACATGTGCTAGGCAAGTGCTCTACCACTGAGCCCCAGCCCCAGCCTGGATTGCAGTTTTGAATATCAATTTTACCATTTTGTTTTCTTCTTCCAGGACTCCAGTTGTACTTATGTTTGGCCTCCTTTATCTTCCACTTCATATATTTTCTCACCCACTAGTTCCGCCCTTTTCTTTATCTCATTCTCTTTGTTATTTTCTTGAACCATTCAACTTCCATTGAACTATGTTCTTTCTTGAACATAGTTCAAGAAAAAAGCCTTTATTGTGGCATGGAACTGGAGCGTCCCTCATATGTCGAAGGCTTGGTCCTCAGACTGTGATTGGATTATGAGAGCTCTGACTGCGTCAGTGGATCAATACATTTGGGGGTGGAAATTGTCAGCAAGGGGAAGTAGGTCACAGAGGCCAGCCCTGGGGCCTTGGCCCCTCTCCTGCCTCTAGCTGCCATGAGCTAAGCAATGGTGTTCCCCTCACCTCCAGTCTAAAGCAATGGTGTCAAATGACCATGAACTGGAACCTCAGAAACCATGGGCCAAAATAAGTCTTTACTCCTTTAAGTTGTTTTCTTGGGTATTTTTCACAGCAACAAAAAAGCTGAACAACACACCCTCGTTATTTCTATATTAGTTTCTCAAGTGTTTTGGACTTTTTCTTAAGTTTATTTTCTTAGTAAAGTGAAATTTTTTTCATTTCTTCCAATTTCTTCATATTTTTTAAGTTCTTATTATTTTTAAATTTATTAATTTAATTTTTGAATTTTAAAATTTCTCGTTTTGAAATTTAAAATTTACTTTTAACTGACACAAAATATAAAACCTTTGTGATTTATGGAATAAAGTGTAATATTTCAATACTTGTATTCATTGTGTAATATTTATGTCAGGTTAAACATATCTCTCTGTCTCCTCGTTTTTTATTTCCTAATGGTGAAAATATTAAAAATCCCTCCTTTTTTTTGGTACTGGGAATTGAACCCATGGCCTTGTGCATGCAAGGCAAGCAGTCTACCAATCAAACTATATCCCCAGCCCCCCAAATCCCTTCTTTTATCTCTTTGAAATATCAGCACCTGGTTGTTATCTGTAGTCAACAATAGTGAACCAGAACTTCTTCATCCTAACCGTAACTTAATGCCCATTGACCGAACCTTTCACCATCTCTCCCTGGTCTCTGGTAACCACCACTACTTCAGTTTCTATGGATCAACTTTTTAACTCTTACATATGGAAACACTGGCACTTGCCTCTCTGTGCCTGGCTTTGTTTTGCTTACCATCATGACCTCAAGTTCCATCTATGTTGTCACAAATTCCATTTTTTATGGCTGAATAGTATTCCATTGTGCATATATGCACCACATTTGCATCATTCACTCAGATGATGGACACTTAGATTGTTTCTGTTTCTTGACTATTGTGGATAGTGCTGCAAGAAACATAGGTGTGAAGATACCTCTTCAACATACTGACTTCATTTCCTTTGGATACATATCACCAGAAGTAAAATTGATGGATCATATGATAGTTCTATTTGTTAATTTTTTGAGGGACCTCAGTATTTTCCATAATGACTGCACTAATGTCCCTTCCCATCACCAGCAGGCAAAGGTGCCTTTTTCTTCACATGCTCACTAGCACTGCCTTTTGTCCTTTTATAATAGCCATTCTTATTGGAGTGAGGTGATAACTTATTGTGGTTGTAATTGGCATTTTCTTGATGACTAGTGATTTTGAACATTTTGTCACATACCTTTTGTCTATTTGTATGCCTTCTTTTGAGAAATATTTTAAATATTTTATTTAAATTGGGTTATTTGGTTTTTGCTATGCAGTTTTTGGAGCACCTGCTATATTCTGTTTATTGACCTTTAGCGTATGTATAGTTTGCAAGTATTTTCTCCCATTCTGTAGGTTGTCTCTTCACTCTGTTGATTGTTTCCCTTACTCTACAAAGTTAGTTTTTTTTTTAAAGTAAAAAAACCTTAAATATGATATAGGTCCATTTGTATATTTTGGCTTTTATTTCTTGTGCTTTTCAGCTCTTGTCCAAAAAATTGCCCCTTCCAATGTCTTGAAACATTTCTTTGTTTTCTTCTAGTAGTTTTTAAAATGCATTACATTTAAATCTTTAATCCATTTTGAGTTGGTTTTTGTAAATGATGAGAGATAAGGATATGCTTTCATTTTTCTGCATGTATGATATTTATGTTCCCAGTACCATTTATTGAAAAGACTTCCCTCTCTCCAATGTGTGTTCTTAGCATCTTTGTTGACAATCGGGTGGCTGTAGATGCCTGGATTTGCTGTCAG